TAGTGCACACGATGCCTGCACTGGCACCAGTGCGAGAGGTGCCTCAGCCAGACGGACACTTCCATGGACCAAGACCTCCCTAAGCGAGGCTAAGGTGCAGTCCCACTCGGTAAGTCCCCAGCAGGCAGTTTGACTTTTAAACCTTAAAAGTCACAGACAAGCAAAATCACACTGAGCTGCCAAACAACACCAGGAAAGACATCTCTTGCCACATTACTGGCCTGTTTTCCACCAGCTCTCCCCAGCCTTCTGTCAGGCTCCACATCGCTTACGCACTGAGTCAGAGCAGAGGGCAGGGTCCCGGCGTGAATGACCTGGAGCATGTTTCACTTCCAGCAGCACCTTCCATGTCGTCCCCCCTTCCAACACGCTCCCAACCTCTTGCCTCCGTGGGCCCTGTTGACAACAGGGACACCCCACCCCCCCCTTAGGCACCTCAGGTTTCCCACGGACTGGGGAGCTGGGACCCGGGCTACAACCAGGCAGCTCAGCAGCAGCTAGCACTGGCAGGCTTTTCAGGAATTCTGCGTCACACCAGGAGAAGGAGCTGTACTTAATTTCTCCCCTTCCAACTTAATTGAATTCCGTCATCATACCGGAATCCTGCCAAGGTCAGTTTCAGGAAAACCAGACTAACAGACATAATTAATCCTTCAGCTTCCAGCTTCATACACTCCAGCTACACTGCCCAGCTCCTCCATCAGAGAGCCACCACCTTGAACAGACACTGCTTGCATGCTGAAATCCCCTGCAGCAGCACAACTCACCAGCCAGCGCTGGCCTCTGGAAGATGGCTTCCGGACACAGAGGGCTGAACCTCCCTCACTCCCCATCAAACACGACTGGTTTTCACTCACAGCTTAGAGGACACTTACCCACCCGGTCTCACTCCCACCTGGACACAGAAGGAAAAGCCACGTGGCTACCAGCAAGGCATACATCAATTTGAGACTGGCTCTCAGAGATTCATCATGACCTGATGTGGTTTTCTCAGAGCCTGTTCCTGGTATGCAACACTCTTTATAGAGAAGATTCACACTTTCTAGGCTCAGGCACAAACTAGCTTTATAGAGAGACTCTGCCAGCCTGGATTCAAGCTCGGAGCTAGCTGAGATGTCCCCAGGAAGGCACGGATCGCGCTTTGCAATGATTTGTCTACAGGACGCCAGGAAGGCTCCAACTGACACAGTGCGCTGACCATTACAGCCTGCTTGGACAGCTACTCACACGATGCTCAACAGCAGCTATGGATGGCCGCAAGAGCTTTTGCATCAAAGGCCACTGTCAAACATCCTCGCGGTGCCACGCTCACCATACCTCACCCTCCCCATGTCAGGAGTTCAGGCCTCCCTCCTAAGCCCCTGCACCTACCACTACCTGCTGTGCTGCATAATCCAGCCTCTTACCTTCCTGCAGGTACATCACAGCCTGAGAGTAGTTCTGCAAGGCATGATGAGTCCTCCCCAGACTGCTGTAAGACACGGTTTTGGCTACAAGGTCGTTCATTTGTGCTGCAATGCTGAGGTGCTGCTCCTGATAAACTACTGCCCTCTCATAAGTGCCCAAGGACTCATAGGTCAGGCCCAGGTTCCCGTAGGCCCGGCCTTGGCAAGTGGGGTTGTTGGTCTCCTCCGCAATCTGCAGGTCTAGCTGGTGATACTGCAGGGCTGTGTCGTACTCTCCCATCTGCTGGTAGACCCTACCAAGGCCGCAGGCAGCATCGCTCTCCAGAGCTCGGTCCTTCATCTCTCGAGCGATGTTCAGCTGGCGCTCCAGGCAAGAAATGGCTTGTTCGTAGTTCCCCAGCTGGCTGTGCAGGCTCCCCAGCTCCCCGTAGGCCTGGGCTTTGTTAAATGCCTCCCCCAGCTCGTGTGCCACCACAAGCCTCTTCTCAAAGCACACCAGAGCCTGCTGCAAACTTCCCATAGCCCTGTAAGGGAAGAAAATAACAGCAGTTACTTTGCCAGTATTTTCTTGAAAGATGCTCTGTCATTTCCTCTAGAGGCCAGCTCGAACCTTTCAGGTAGAGACAAACACTCCCCCCAGGAGACATCCCCAGCACCTTTGAATTCAACCTCCTCCTTTTGCCGCCCTACAAACATCTCTTCCTCTCCGGGCAGAGCAACATCAGCTTCGTTATTTGAGCCGGTAGCGCAGTGCTCGGCACCCAACTCCGTCACTTGCCCCTACACCATATCTCTGTGCATGTGCACAATGGCCACACAAACACACCCCATTAGTCACACAACACATCCATTTGCGCTGGCACTTCACCATCTGTCATTAGAACACACGTGCAGTGCTCCTTACCTGTGCCCGTTGCCCAAGCCCCGGTAGGCCTTTGCCTGATCTTGCATGCGGTTTAAGCTTTGAGCCACGGACAGGTACTGTTCATAGTACTTTACAGCTTCCTCAAAATCTCCCAGAGCCTCGTAACAATCTCCCAGGTTCCCATATGCTCGGCCTCGATCTAACACAGATTCATTTCCGCTGAGCTGCTGCAGCATGGCCAGCTGCTGTTCAAAGTAGCCAATAGCTTCCTCCATGACGTTCATGTTCATCTTGGTAATGCCCATGTTACCGTAGACTTGGGCTTCTATGCTGGGGTCCTTCAACTTCTGCCCAAGCTCCAGCTGTTCTTCGTAACACTTGAAGGCCATGGTGTACTTCCCAAGTGACATATACACGGCAGCAAGGTGACCATGTGCTCGGCATGCACCCAGCATATCTCCCAGCTCCTGGTACACCTCCAGCTCCTGTGTGTGGTAACCTAAAGCCTTGTCACACTTCTGTATCATTCTGTATGCAGAGCCCAAGGCTGCATAAGCACTGGCTTCCAGTCTCCTGTCTTTCACGTGATGAGCTAAGCTCAACTGCTGCTCATAAAACTTTATTGCACCATTTACGTCTTTTTTACAGACAAAAATATCCCCCAAGTTCCCCAGAGCTCGGAATTTGGCCTGGGAATTGTTCAGAGACTGGGCCAGGGACAACAGGTACTTCTGACACTCCTCTGCTTTGCCGAAGTCCATCAAGGCTTTGAAGGCCAGGCCCAGGTTGCAATAGGCTTTGGCTTGGCTCAGCTTGTCATGAAGATCCTTTGCCAAGGCAAGATCCTGCTCGTAGTACTTAACAGCCTCCTCGTAGTTCCCAAGGCAGTAATGGGCATAGCCAAGGTTATGGCAAACCTTCCCCTCCCCTTCCATGTCCTGCAGCTCTGGGGACAAGCGCAGGTACTGCTCGTAGTAAGGGGCTGCCTGCACATACTCTCCTCGTGAGCAGTGGAAGTTGCCCAAATTGCTGAGGGCCCGTGCTTCACTCTGGATGTCTCGCAGCTCCCGGGCAATGTTGAGATGATTTTGGTAGTGCTGCAGAGCACGATCATGGGCACCCAGCGCTTGATAGGCAACTGCTAAGTTTCCGTGTGTAGATGCCTGAGAGGCACGGTCATTGACTTCCATAGAAATCTGCAGCTCCTGCCGATGGTACTTGACAGCCTGGTCATACATGCCGAGAGCATTGTAAGCGTTGCCCATGTTGCCGTAGGCCCGGCCCTGGGCCGCGTAATCACTGAGCTCCTGAGCTATGGACAGATGTGTCTTATGGAGCCGCAGTGCAGTGTCATAGTCACCTTTCATCTGGTGAATGATTCCTGAAAAATAACAGAAATGGGCTCAACAAAAGCATTCCTCTGTGCTAGCCCTTCTGCAACACCTTGCCATGCCAGGACTCTCCTGCAGCCCAGCCCTCAGCAGCTCATGGCCTGGCCCTTTCCCCAGGCTCTCCACGCGGCAGCACACGTTCACACAACTGCGCAGTTCGACCTTATAAAATGCCCACTTTCTCTTTTAATTGTGCTACTTTTTTTTTTCCCCATCAGCGATACCTGGTGACTCCAGAGCTCATAATCAACACACTGAGTGAGAAAGCATTTGTATTTGCTTTTCAATTTCAGTCAAATCATCTTGTACTTGTTATGAGACATGGAAACAGCAGCTCTGAATCTGCTAACCTTACAACTTAGGCTTCGATTAAACTCTGTGCTAATGATACGTGTGGCTCCTTTGCAAACACCCGTGAACAGGCCTGGAGATCCAGGAGCCACTGAAGGAGGCCCTGCAAACACAGATTCGTCACAGTTACTTAATACCTGACGACAACTTCGGGTCTTTCCCTGCCCCTAAAAGAAAACACCTTCCAGTTTCCAACTCCGTATCACACCCAACGTGTTGAGCGCGAAGTGATGTGGAGGGTCAGAGAGCAGCGGCCTTCCCCAGCGCTGGCAAGCACAGCATGCTGTGATCAGGCCCTGCGCATCAGCCTCCTCTTGGTTTGTACTTTTAAAGACAAATTTGAAGACACAGGCTCCCCAACTGAGCCTGCATCATGAGGGCCAAAATTTGCTTTCACAAGGCAATTTGGACCTCGCAGATTCATTTTTTAAACTCATGTATAATTGAAAACTCAAGTTCCATTATGTCAGCATGAAGCATTCTGACTGGATTACCTGCATTTCTATCAAAGCAAGTCATTCAAAAATTCTGCTCACTTTCCTCCTAACATGAGACTTCAGGACAAGGCAATTTAGAAAACATGGGCAGAACAAAACAGGATCAAAACAGTAACTACTTGGCTGCTGCTGACAGTTCATTTCTCTCCCTGTGCACTGCAATTGTGACCAAAACTAGAGCTCAGGGCACAAGGGACGTGCTCCCTGGTGTCTCAGTCCAGCTCCTGGTCAAATCCTTCCTCGGCCCCAACAAGCCTGCGGCTCCAATCGACCAGTGTTAGCGATCGCATCTCTGGCTGACGCATGCGGTTTCCCTCCAGTATGCTGAGGGAAGGTGCTGGCAGCAGGGATGGGATGAACTAAGCTAAGTGACCCCACGTGAGTATTTTGGCCCTCCATCTCCTGTCTGGAGACACGGCCAGGGCTAGGGCTCAGTGGATGGCCGCACTGCTGCACACAGCAGAGCCTTCACAGGAAAGACCAACGATTTCTGCAGGAAAAACACAAGGTAATTACAAGGCATGGAATTGGACTGGACACAAAGCTACGTAACTTAGAAACCACAAAAACCAGTCACTGTGAAAGCGTCCCATTGCTTCAGAAACTAAAAAAGATGGAATTAGCTAAATCTCTTCCCTGGAAACAGCAAGAGATGTCTGAGCTGGAAGCAGGCAGAACCAGAGCTGCCCCAAGGAGCCTGTGCTCCCAGCTTTGTCTCCCAAATGCTGTGTCCCTCCCAGCCAGCACCTCGGGGTGCCTTGGCTCCAGCATGGGCAGCCAGGCCCTGCCCAGCGAGACACACTGCAGCAGCCCCCACCTGTGAGAAAGCTGAACACACAGCTCATTCAAAACTGCTCCTGAAAACCCACAGTTTCCAGAATCAGGGTTCAAGCAAGCTTTTCCTAATCTCTTACTGCTAAATGGGCAGACTCCTCAAGGAGACAAGACATGCCACTACTCTCCACCAGCACCACTCTCCACCTCCTCTGAGGAATCAGGTGTGGGAAAGCACTCAGCTTGAAGTGAGCGTAAAAGGGAGAGAGAGGACAGAAAACAGGTTAAAAGCAAATTTGAGTTCAGCTGACTGCCTAGTAAGCTGTTCTTTGATGAGATTCATCTTAGAACAAAAGCAGGAAAGAGGACAAACCTTGTAAAAAATTTTTAATGGTGACTTTGGCACAAACGAAGTGAGGGCTACTCAAGAGGTACTGATGAAACCCAGTTAGGAAGCACTGCTGACACAGGGCAGGATGGGATTATTAGGGAGGAGGGATTGGGCAATCTCATGTACCAGAGCAACAAAAACAGGGTGATGAAAATCACCAGTACACTATGCAAAGACATGCACTTCAAGACTACAAGGGCAGGGAGTCATCATTCAGAAACGAGAAGGAGCTATCTAGT